AAAACGAGCGAATTTGGAGGCAGGCAGCGCAATTGACGCCGGACACGACAAAACGCACTTTTCGGAGTTTGCCGTTTTCAGCGCTTTTTGCACCAAAAACGGAGCGGCGACGAAGCGGTGACATCGCTGGTGACAAGCGTTTTTTGGGTGAAATTATGCAGTTTTGCAGGGTTTTGGGACCAAAAATCACAAATAGTGTCCCTATAGGCTGATGTTCCTTACTACTCACCTCTGGGGGCTCAAGCGCTACCTTGTCTCAGCTGTCTCTGCAGCACCCACCAGCGGCCGGGCATTAATGAAGCAACCTTGCCCATTAATAAATTACCTTGCCCATTAATGAATCAGCCCGTTTTATTATTGACGAAGAACGAACTTGGAACTTGCCCGCTTTTGCGCACTTTTCGGCCCAAGAGAGCGGTGACAAAGCGGTGACAAGCTTGCCTGCGCGGCAGGGTGGCTTTGCTATTCTTAAGGCAAAATTGAATTGTCTTAAAGCAACGAGGCGTTGATCATAATGCGCAGCGCAACAGCTGCAGACTGCGCCGCGCAAAAGCGCGAACATAGAACATTGCACCTCTCTCTTTAGAGGGGGTATTCCACGGTGGCTTCTGGCCTTGTGGACTCCCGCCCCGGCGCCTTAGAAACCCAAACTAACTTACGTAGCTGCAAACGCCAAAGCTCTACGCGAGCTCTACCTAACCTTGGCTCTGTGCCGCTCGTGCCACTTGGCTCTAACTTGGCTCGAAGTAAACTTTGCTCTGTAACTTGGCTCTGTGTAACTTGTCCAAGGGCTCCGCACGGAAGAACCCTTTGCGATGCTTTTGGAAAACAAGCCAACAGCAACCGGCTCCTGCCCGAGTTAGACACAAAAATCGCCATGTTATGAAAGCGTATGTTTCTGCAAAGAGGCTCGTGCAACTTAGTCTGCGCAAGATGGCTCTGCGCGCGCGCAAGCTACTTTACGCGAGTGGCTCTGCGCAACTTGGCTCAAAAATGCGTGCTCTGCGCGAGTCTGCCAGCGCAATGTGCTTTGCTCAAGTTGCGCTGCATGATTTCTCACGAAAGTGGTCGCAAGCTGCATTGTTCCAGGCTGATTTCGGGCAAGTTGCTCTCTGCACGCTGCTGCACGCAAGTGCTTGTGCAGGTTGCTCTGCGCAAGTGCTCTGAGCAAGTTGCTCTGCGCAAGTGCTCTGCGTCAGTTTCTCCGTGCGAGCGCTTTGCCATGTGCTCTGTGCAAGTTGGTCTGTGCAAGTTGCTCTGCGCAAGTTCTTTGTGCAATTCGCAGAGCGCAAGTTGCTCTGTGCAAGTGACTCTGCGCAAAGTTGCTCTGCGCAAGTGCTGCCGGGCTGTGGGAATGCACTTCGCGTACTTTTTTTGCACTTAAAAGTTGCGATTGTCCACCGGAGCTTCGGGAATGTGCCCCGCGTACTACGTTGTACTTAAAAATTGCGGTTTTCCAACCGGAGCTGCAGGAGCACGCTCCGCGTACTCGTTTGTGCTTAAAAGTTGCGATTTTCAGCCGGAGCTGCAGGGTGTGATCCGCATACTCGTTGCGCTTAAAAGTTGTGGTTTCCAGCCTGAGCTGGGGAGCACGCTCCGCACACTACGTCTGTACTTAAAAGTTACGATTTTCCAGCCGGAGCTGCAGGAGCACGCTCCGCGTACCAGTTTGTACTTAAAAGCTGCGATTTTCAAGAAACCACTTCCAAAGGCCGTTTTGCGAGCAAGAATATTGCACGGCGCCACAGCCAGAGCGCTTCGAGTTTTTGAACCTCGACCACGCGAATCTCCGCAGAGGGCGCGCGCGCGCCGCAGAAATCGTAAAAAGTCCCCAGTTTTTGAACCTCGACTGCGCGAATCTCCGCAGAGGGTCGCGCGCGGCCAGCAGAAATCGTAAAAAGCTCCAGTTTTTGAACTCGACCGCGCGAATGAGGGTCGCGCGCGCGCCGCAGAAATCGTAAAAAGTCCCCAGTTTTTGAACCTCGACCACGCGAATCTCCGCAGAGGGTCGCGCGCGCATGCTAAAAATCGTTTTTGAACCTTGACCACGCGAGTCTCCACAGAGGGTCGTGCGCGCACCGCAGAAATCGTAAAAAAGTCCTCAGTGTTTGAACCTCGACCACGCGAATCTCCGCAGAGGGTCTCAATCCCGAGCGACGATCCGACTCCCGCCCCTGGCTCGTAGCTTGGCTCTATGTAACTTGGCTCTACGCAACCTGGCTCTATGCAACTTGGCTCTATGTAACTTGGCTCTATGTAACTTGGCTCTATGTAACTTGGCTCTATGTAACTTGGCTCCATGTAACTTGGCTCTATGTAACTTGGCTCTATGTAACTTGGCTCTATGTAGCTTGGCTCTATGTAACTTGGCTCTATGTAACTTGGCTCTATGTAACTTGGCTCTATGTAACTTGGCTCTATGTAACTTGGCTCTATGTAACTTGGCTCTATGTAACTTGGCTCTATGTAACTTGGCTCTATGTAACTTGGCTCTTTGTAACTTGGCTCTATGTAACTTGGCTCTATGTAACTTGGCTCTATGTAACTTGGCTCTATGTAAACTTCACCCTTTTTTTTTTGGGGGGGCTCTATGTAACTTGGCTCTATGTAACTTGGCTCTATGTAACTTGGCTCTATGTAACTTGCTATAAAACTTGGCTCTATGTAACTTGCTATAAAACTTGGCTCTATGTAACTTGGCTCTATGTAACTTGGCTGTGTGCAACTTGGCTCTGTGTAACTTGTCCAAGGGCTCCGCACGGAAGAACCCTTCGCGATGCTTTCGGGAAAAAAAGCAAAAACTGGACCCATGGCCCTGAACTAGCAGATGCAGATGATGGGCTGTGTTTTGTTTTGTTTTTTTTTGGTTTTTGGTTTTTTGCTGAAAAACTCAGCCCCCATGAATCTGAAAAACTCAGCCCCCAGGAATCTGAAAAAACTCAGCCCCCATGACGACCCCTTCTGGCGTTGTTGACCTTGGGGGCATCTGTGCAGGCTACACGTGTGGTCGCTCCTCCCCTACAGAAAAGGGTCTTAGGGTCTTCGGGTCGGTCGGGCTCCCCTTTTCATGGCTGTTCCCTCTTGGCTTGAAGCAGCGAACAGGATTCTAACGGGAACTTTGGGCAGGCAGGTGTTCAGCAGTGTGGGTTACCACGGCCTGTGCCCACCGTGAAGTGCTTTGCGCAGCACGCTTACAGTGCATGGTTTGACAGTTGTACTTTCACGTCCTCTGCACTCTGTCTACCTTCTTTTTACAAGCCTTTTGCTTGACGGCAGCCTCGGCTGCCAGCCGCTTGAGTATGTTGGATTCCGGTGGCTTTTCTTTGCGCCATTTCACATTGCTGTGGTGGCCAGCTGTTGCTGATGCAGCGGCATGCTTTTTGAGGAGTTGCATGGATTCTCTACAATCAGGTGTGCGTGTCACATTTGATCATTGAGCAAGATGGCAGAAGCGCATGAGACGACCATGTGATTTTTGGACGTTGCGTCAGAAACGTGTTTCAAGATTCGAAACGATCTCCGTCATTGCAAATGCGTTACGCCAACAAAATGATGCGAGGAAATTGTATCTTCACCCGTTAAGTTGGTTCAAAATGGGGTGCGCGTCCAAATGCCGAGTTGGCTCCGTACACTTTAGATGTTGTCATTTTAAGAAGCGCGTTTTTTGGAGCTCCAAAGAAAAACTAATACTAGGTGTCACATACTGGCCAGTGAGCCAAATGGGCCGCGCTGCTTTGCTAGGATTCTCACGCGAGTCAAGGACGCCAATGTAACAGGGGTGCGTGTTCAGGGTTACCGTGTGGCCTTGATGCGGCTGGATTGATTTTCACCGAAACGCTTCGGGTTGTAAGGCACTACTTCAACAGCCAGTGACAGGCCCCTTCAACGGACAGCTGCGACAGAGCCAATGACCACACCGGTGACAGGCAGCGCGTGAGTGTGTTGCCAGTCACCAGCGTGGAACTCTGTTGGGTAAGAGTGTGTCAGCATTGGAAAGACATGGTCGCGTTGTGCAGCCCGACAATTGGCATATTGACAGCATGTCAATCAGTTTTGCATCATGTCTTGTTTTTGTTGGCTGGATTTGATATTGTGTATCATTGGAATGATTGAAAGCATGCACCACATGTGGGGCTAGCGGAAACACGAAATGAGATAGGGTTCCAAGTCCAGTTTTCCAGCTTCACGTGTGCGTTGATTTCCTTTTGAATCATGAAACGACGCGCCAGCATGAGCAGATCCCCCAAAACCAAATTGACGTGAACGAAACATGAGAACTGCCAGTTGGGATCCACGATCGCTGTTTACACGAGAAAAGGTTGCCAAACAAGCGCGTCATGTAGAGCGAAATGGCAAAGCAACCTGGCTGAGACATGTTCGGACGTGAGACCATCACCGACCTGGGAAATTCAGGGGACAGAAAATGCAATGTTTTTTTTTTTTTTTTTGTTCTCCCCCCGGTTCCCCGGTTCTGGGGGGCCGAGCCAGAAGTCTCAACGGTGCCAAAAAATGCGCGGTATATCTAACCGTGTGTTTGCAAAACAGTTGCAAAACAGTTCTTTACCAGTGCGAGCCAAACCTGCTTCCATGGAAATTGTGCAACCACTCGGCTTGGCCGTTGCGAAGGCTCCAAGTTCTGTTTCCTATCCCGTGCTGCGATCGAGATGAACATCCCGTTTATCCACTTGAATCAAGTGCTCAAGGTTTTACGGGGAATGACCAGCAACCAAACCGACTGTTGACCAGCCTTCAAAGCCAGGGCAAGCGATAACGAGGCCCTAAGCGGGCTTTGGGTCACTCCAAACCATTTTGAGCCAAGTTTCCCGACCGGAGGTTGCCGTCGTCCGTGGCGGTTGAACAGTCGTGCGATCCGCCGAGCAGAGCCATTGCCTAGGGCGTTCATCGCTACATGTGGCTCAAGGGAAGCGTCTCTAAGCTCGCAGCAAGCATTCAAGGCGTGTGCGTTGCCTGTTGGGTGAGCTGTGGAATCCCGAGCCCAGATGGCGGAACTCGACGAGGAGGAAGTGGCGGCCCCTGAGGTCGAGAAGGAGGAGGAGGCAGGGGTCAGCAGGAGTCACGGCTCCAGCCTAGCTACGAGAGCACTCGGAAGGTGACGGATGTCAATGGAGCAGTTCGCGGTGTTTTGAAGAAGTCCCTCATGGTGGATGGCGTCATCCGGGGATTGCACGAGGCCGCTCGGCAGAAGGCATTTTGATATAGAATTTACAACTCCACATGGCATCGCTGCTGCGAGTTCTGGTTTGCCTTGCACTCCTGGTAAGTCCCTCTGCACCTGTCAGGTTGCCAAGAATGTTGAAGCTGGCAGGGCACAGGTTGTGTTCCTGGCGGAGTCCTGCAATGAAGCCACCTACAAGAAGCTCATCCAGGCAAGCCGCAACTGTCACTGTGTAGTATCTGAAGGATCCCACTTGTTGCGCGTCCCCCGACTTCTCCAGGGCCTGTGTCTGGAGAAGAATGTGCCGCTGATCGATGTGCCCGACAACAAGAGCCTGGGTGAGTGGGCAGGCTGGTCCGCCTTGGGTTTCTACCGCTGAATTTCTGACCGCAAGGCCTTTGCAAGATCGACAAGGATGGCCACCCCAGAAAGGCGGGTTTGGTCCTTTGAGCCAAGCGGGGTAGGGCGATTGAGACATAACATGAGCCACAGGTGGTGGGTGCCAGCTGCGTGGCCGTGGTGGATTTTGGTGAGGAGGGTCAGGCGGGGATGTGAGCGGCTGTGAGCGTGCAGTTGGATGAGCTTCCAGGCGTACGACTTCATGATGAAGCACTTGGGCAAGTGAAGACAAGAGTCGCAGCGAGTCCGGAGACGAAATGACGCAATGCCCTGCTTCTACAATGAGAAGAGGAATCATTCTAACAGCCGAATGCGAATTGGCCAAGTCATGACACGGTGTCTTGATAGCATCAAAGCCATGTCCTTTTTGACCTTGCTTTTTGAAGTAGAAATGTGTAGCTGACATAATTTCCTGCCGCATTGACGGTTGTGTAGTTGCTTGAATCAAGTGCTCAAGGTTTTACGGGGAATGACCAGCAACCAAACCGACTGTTGACCAGCCTTCAAAGCCAGGCAAGCGATAACGAGGCCCTAAGCGGGCTTTGGGTCACTCCAAACCATTTTGAGCCAAGTTTCCCGACCGGAGGTTGCCGTCGTCCGTGGCGGTTGAACAGTCGTGCGATCCGCCGAGCAGAGCCATTGCCTAGGGCGTTCATCGCTACATGTGGCTCAAGGGAAGCGTCTCTAAGCTCGCAGCAAGCATTCAAGGCGTGTGCGTTGCCTGTTGGGTGAGCTGTGGAATCCCGAGCCCAGATGGCGGAACTCGACGAGGAGGAAGTGGCGGCCCCTGAGGTCGAGAAGGAGGAGGAGGCAGGGGTCAGCAGGAGTCACGGCTCCAGCCTAGCTACGAGAGCACTCGGAAGGTGAGGGATGTCAATGGAGCAGTTCGCGGTGTTTTGAAGAAGTCCCTCATGGTGGATGGCGTCATCCGGGGATTGCACGAGGCCGCTCGGCAGAAGGCATTTTGATATAGAATTTACAACTCCACATGGCATCGCTGCTGCGAGTTCTGGTTTGCCTTGCACTCCTGGTAAGTCCCTCTGCACCTGTCAGGTTGCCAAGAATGTTGAAGCTGGCAGGGCACAGGTTGTGTTCCTGGCGGAGTCCTGCAATGAAGCCACCTACAAGAAGCTCATCCAGGCAAGCCGCAACTGTCACTGTGTAGTATCTGAAGGATCCCACTTGTTGCGCGTCCCCCGACTTCTCCAGGGCCTGTGTCTGGAGAAGAATGTGCCGCTGATCGATGTGCCCGACAACAAGAGCCTGGGTGAGTGGGCAGGCTGGTCCGCCTTGGGTTTCTACCGCTGAATTTCTGACCGCAAGGCCTTTGCAAGATCGACAAGGATGGCCACCCCAGAAAGGCGGGTTTGGTCCTTTGAGCCAAGCGGGGTAGGGCGATTGAGACATAACATGAGCCACAGGTGGTGGGTGCCAGCTGCGTGGCCGTGGTGGATTTTGGTGAGGAGGGTCAGGCGGGGATGTGAGCGGCTGTGAGCGTGCAGTTGGATGAGCTTCCAGGCGTACGACTTCATGATGAAGCACTTGGGCAAGTGAAGACAAGAGTCGCAGCGAGTCCGGAGACGAAATGACGCAATGCCCTGCTGATGCGAGGGTAGTGGCGCACTGGCTTGCACGATCCTTTTCGCAGCTTATTTGTTCCATGGCAGGGTGGGTTATATATACCTTTGGTCACATTTCAAAACGTAATACGCCAGGGCAGAGCCAATCTAGGATTGAATTGAGACGCCAGATGTTGAACATGTTGAAAAGCAAACAAAGCATGGAGCACATAGTCGAGGGTGCAAGCACCTGCGTACCCCACATGGCGTGCACCTGACGGGTTCAGCCGGGATTCGGCTTTGCGCCATGAAGAATGTCAAGGCGAGGGGCGAGACATCGATGCCCAAATCTGATTCAAACGGGTTGGGTTGGAGCAGTGAAGAAAGCAACGCAGCGGCCTTTTTCTTTTGGCGCATACGCATGTGGCGGCGAGGCGGCGATGCGGGGAGCCCAGGAAACCCTGGGCTTCGACTCCCCGAGCTACATGAAAGGCCTACAGGCGCACTCGTTCGCACCGCTCGCACCGCTCGCACCGCTCGCACCACTTGCAACGTCAGGTGTTCATCGCCGACATCCGAAATTGCCAGACCAAGGAGCAAGAGCAGCAGAGGGTCGAGAAGGAGCGGACCAGTTCCACACGTTTCTTCGGTTTCTTCGGTTTCTTCGGCTCTCAGCCCGCAGGAGCTTTCCAAGATCCGCTTGAAGTTTGCCAATCCCAAGTCGCTCTCTGGCTACGACAAGAAGAAGTGGCCTCTGGCTAAAAGAAACGGCGAAAAGGCGAGAACGCAGGTACGTTTGGAAGCTGCTGTATGCCTACATGCTTGGCTACGAGATTGACTTCGGACACTTTCAGGCTACTTTTTTGGCATACGCATGAGGTCCTTTCCTTTTTGTTATTATCCTTGTGGTCCTTGTGGTCCTTGTGGTTCGTGAGAGGCAGTGGAGTTGTGCTCGGCTTCCAAATTCAGTGAGAAAACTGCTGGGTGAGGGCCCAAGCCCTGGTGCCGCATGTGCCGCATGTGCCACTCCGCGCGGAGAGGTACTTGGCCACTTCACTCCTCCTGGCCGACAACAACGACATGGTGCGGATGATTGTGAACAGCGTCAAGACGGACATGGCTTCGGGCAACGAGGCGGGTGCGTTGCCGTGTGGGCTGCATGGCTCTCGACTGGCAGCACATGGCGGCCTTGGCCCTCAACACCGTGGCCAACATCGGAGGCATGCCCGAATGTGACCAATTGTGGAGGTGTCACATTGTTGGCTGCTCCCCATGAGCCGTGAGTTGTGCTAACTTCACATTTCAAGAACATGTTAGAGAAAGAAACAGCGCATATACTTTTCCATGCTCCTGCTCTTCCACTCACACTCGTGTCTGCGTGGAATCTTTTCGTTTACTGGCCAAAGACAGGTCCTGAGTTTGCAGACAACTTGTTTGCGGACATTTCCAAGATGCTTCTGTCGCAGTCTGCGCCACTCGGCACTGGCTTGGGAATGCAATCTAGCTCAATGTGGATAAAGCTCAGGCTTTCGCCCTACATCAAGCGGAAAGCCTGCATTTGTCTCCTGAGATTGTACCGCAAGGACCTGGCCTTTCGGCTTTGTGTGTGAGGGGAGACAGCTTTGAAGCCAAGGAGAACGACGGTCTACAACCCGAGGCACCAGTTGTCTTTGCATTGCGATTCTGGAACCATTTCTTTCGTTCAGGTCTGGCAGAAGAAGCTTGCGACCATGTTCCTCGAGAGGGATATTGGCTTGCTAACGCCCGGTTTGTGTTTGATCACGCCGTGTCACTCCGGTCCGGCCAGGTCTGCGAGCGGCTTCATGCTCGGAATCCTGGAGATGGGCAAGTTCCCGGCGGCGACCTTGGACCCTCGGACCCTCGGACCCTCCTTTTTCTTTTGTATTCTCGGACAGCGTGCTTGGCTTTTAAGGTTCAGGCTTGGGCAGAAGTCGTGCCACCAGTCTGCGAGTGTCTGGCGGGCCTAGTCCAGGGTGATTGCCCGGAATACTACGAGCACAGCGGCTGCAATTCCGAGCACTTTCAGACTTGCTGACTTTCATGCAGATTTGGTCAGACTTGTGTTCCTTGACGTACTGGTTTCCCTTTCACCTTTGCTTGTCACACTCGTCACGCTTGTTGCGTCCAGTGTTCTTTTTGCGTGTTTGAATGGGATCGCTTCAGTTCTGTTTGCACGCGATGAAGCCCTGAGACGTCAGTTCCCAGATCGCTGCCATGGAACACGCTTTTACGCAGGTTGATGAGTTGGAACTTTCCTGCCGTCCTTCATCATTCCATCCATCCTGCCATACATCCTTCCCTCCTGTGCTTTCATTTTCTTCCTGCGTTCCTTGCACACGAGCATCTGGTTTCTCGGCTTCTCTGTCTTGACTCAGTTCCCTCCCCGATGTTCCGAGTTTGACCCGCGGGCATTCAGGTATTACCGCGTACCTGCGCCATGGCTGCAGGGAAGTAGGTTCCTGCGCCATGGCTGCAGACCAAGCTGCTGCGGATCCTGTGCTGCCAGCCTTTTCCAACTATGGTTTCTCGTTCGGCTCATCGGGTTCGCGGTGCCAGGCAATTCTTTCCGGTGGTGATGTTCGATGCCGAGCTCCTGCCTCGCCCTTACGCTCGCTCGACTCGACTCGAGTTGTCGAGTTGTGGAGTTGTCGAGTTCGGGAATGGAGGCATCGGCTGAACGTGATGCTGCAGACCATCCTGGCCAAGCCATCGTCGCAGCGAAGCCCTGCACCACCTCCAGGCGAGCCAAGAGTCGGTCGAGTTGTTCCTCGGTCGAAATTTCAGAGACATCCGAGACATCCGAGACATCCGAGGCCCAGGCAAGAAGAGGAGCAAGGCCGGCAGCTTCGAGCCGCCGTGCGGAAGCCTCAGCTCACCGAGGTGGATGCCGAGCGCCAGAATCGCTCCAACGCTGAGCACGCCATCCTCTTCGAGGCGATGAACCTCATGATCCACCTGGAGGAGAGAACCGAGCGTTTTTTTTCTTCTTCCTCTGACCCGGTCCGGCCAGGACACCGCCGACCCAGAGACGATGCGCACGGCCGCGGGCCTCCTGGGGATCTTTCTATCCTCGACGGACCCCAACATCAGGCGAAGCCGGTTTTGCTCGAAATCTCGTCAGAGTGAGGCATGCGAAGCCCATCCCGCAACATGGCACTTCGAAATCCAAAGTGACAGCCAGGTACTTGGGTTTGGAGACCATGGCTCGGCTGGCCACCAATCTCTCTACCCATGAATACCTCGACAGGCACCGGAGACATGTGGTTGTATTTGCTCATGGCTCAGATGGAGATGATGTTTCGGGGTTAGGTACAAGAATCAGATCCTCGATAAGATGCATGAAACGGACATTTCCATACGAAGACAGGCCTGGCAACTAGATTCGATGATTTCGTCACGGCAAGGTATTTGGTGAATCAGACTAGCTGAAAACAACGGAATGAGGCTCTCAATCTCCTGTATGCTCTTTGCAGGCAGGTGCACTTGTGAGCGTCAATATCATGCCTTGCGCCTAGAGGCCTGAGAATTGGCAGCAGATCGTAGATGAGCTTTTGGAAATCTTGGGTGCAAGCGACACCCTTTTGCAGGAGGACCCGAGCAAGAGCTGAGTCGCACTCACTATGGCATCAAATGTATCGTCAGTATAAATCATTACAGGATATAGTTGAGCACAATGTGGATCTTTATGTTGCCGCTGCTTTGTAGACTCTAGAGGTAAAGATCTGAAAAAATAACAGAACAACATCATTTAAATGAATATTATTTTTTCTATTGTGCGATGTGCAAGTATCAGCTTAAATAACAACAACTCTGCTTGTTTTGAGGCTTGGAACTTCAACATGCGCAGGAGTTGGTGTTGAAGATAGCCATCCTGGCTGAGAAGAATGCCCCCAACTTCGGCTGGTATGTGGATGTGCCGCCTCTACTTGGCATCATACTTGGCTTGGGCGTTGGGGGTGTTCGGAGCCAGGTGGTCTTCAAGATGCTGGAGAGCGCACCGGATGCAGCCATCAGCTCGGATGGGAAGAGTGGATGAAAGGGACAAAAGGGACGAGCTGGGCGGGCGGTTTGCTCTAAGGTTGCCGATGACGTGTGGTATCGAGTCGTGCAGGCCATGCTCTGATTGCATGCAGCCATGTGTGGATGGCCTTTTGAGGTTGTAACCGGCTTCGAAGATGGCCTGGCAGAATCAGCCTGGACCTTCAGAGTCAGCTCAGAACTTGCTCATGCTTGAAACACAAGGAGAAGCATGGCTTGCAAAGACACGCTGCTAGCAAGGCGACCCATCGTGTCGTGAATATGTTGCAAGTCTGAGGAGTTTTGGAGCCAGGCCTATCAAAACCTCACATCCCAGAGAGCTCCTCATGACACTTTGCTCCGTCTTGGCGCGTGCCCTCCCTTAGACCCGCTCCGCCCGCGCAACCCGCGCAACCCGCGCAACCCGCTTGGTCTGTTCCGCGTGCAGGTATCTCATGGGAGAGTTTGGGCACCTGCTGCCGCAGAGCGTCATGCCCCGAGCGAAGTTTGAGGCCCTGCACCGGCACTTCCAGAGAGGCTCCCAGCAGACGAAGGCCGATGGCAGTGTGGCAAGACGAAGGCCGATGGCAAATCGCATTTTGGGAGGCCATTGTCCTCTTGGCCTGCGTCAAGCTGCTGAACGCCAATGATGCGCTCAAGGGGGATGTCGTGAGCTTCTTGAAGGAGATCCAGGACGCGTGATGGACAGCGTACACATACGCACATTATGATTGTACATATATATATATATATTGATATCTCTATGTTAAACTGAATGCTACCTGATTGCCTTGTGAAAGACCTGTGATGTGTATCAGCGCGGCTGTAGTAAGCTCTATTTTGTCTGGGCAGATTGTAGGCTCAAGGCCTTGATTGTACAGCCACGGTGAGACCAAGCTGTAAAACCGTGACATGTATCCAAGGCCATGTATACTCTTAACACGCCTCCTTAGAGTACAGTGTTTCAACTGTATCTCTAAAATGTATTGCATGTACAGTCATGACCTTGTGGTTCGGGATGATGTAAAACTCATCTGAGAAAACTGTTCACCAGATTACAGATTATGTGTACATCGATGTCCCTTGTGGGCGGTCAGGAGCTTGTACTCCAAACTTGTCGCTGAGTCCGGTGCGCCACATGGGCCCAAAATTGTACTTCTCTTGTACAACCATTTCAGTTGTTTTTCTCTTGAATTTGCTTGCTGTGCATCATCTTGTAGCCGTTGTGTTGTGACAGAATCACTGCGCTGTCCACTTCTCGCATGCATTGATCGCTGTAGCCAGCTTGTCCGGGGGCCAAAACTGTAGCATCTCCTGCCAGCTGCAGCTTGTTCTCCAAGATGTAGTGAAAGAGCCTTGTGCGAAGTGGCTCTGGCACCGCTTGTATCAAGGCATATGTGTACTGGGTGATGGCCATGGAGAAGCTTGCGTGTTTCCTGTCGAACTTGTCTTCGACATCCAACATCTGTTCGATGTTCAGGATGATGTGCTGTAGCACCATGTAACCATTCTCCAGGTTGTAGCTTCGGTACAGGTTCCTGATGTCGCCACTGATGCGGAAAAATGTGCCGGTGTTCCTCTCAACCTCTGTCATGATCCAGGTGTGATGTTCATGTAGCTGTAGCACAAGTCCGATGTAGCCGCGGTTGAAGATTGAAATTTTCTTCTCGTACACACGCTGCAGGATTTCGGCTGTATGCAGCGAGACACGGTAGATGTAGCAGTTGCTCATGTCATCCGTACTGTCATGGCCACTGTGGATAGCCAGCTCATGTATCCCACAGCGTCCACGATGCTGTAGAACATGCCAACAAAACCAAGCGTAGGGGCACGCGTGTAGCTGGGAATCTTGTTGACTCTGTGCGCCTCCTTGGTAGCCACCGTTGTCATGAACTTGGCCTGTTCCGTTGTAAGCGGTATTAGCACGGTGGTGTAGTCGCTTGGCTCCTCAACCATCCTGTACGCACGATGGGCCATTGTTGACCTGGCAGTGTATCTCCCTCTAGCTGTACAAGACCGATGTAAATGGCTGCAGTGATGAAACATGCATTTAAGCTTTTGTCAAGCTGTCGAGTAAAACCGCAGTCAAGAGATTGTAGGTCGTCGTTGTACCCAAAAGGTGGAATAAAAGCGCAAGGGGTAGATTCATGGCAATGTAACTACCCTAAAAGTGGTTTAGCCGGCTGACGTGTAGTGAACCAAAAGTGCGTGACCTGTGCAACTGATGTTTAAACATACTGTGCAAACTTTAGAGCCTCCGGCTCAGTCCGCCGACATTGTCCTCTCCCTTTTCTCCTTCTTCCTCTCTCCCTTGTCTCCCTGGTGTGTTCTGTCGTCCTCTCTCCCTCCCTCCGCTCCCCATCCTCCCCATCCCCCCAAGCCACTCTCTCCCCAATCTCCCTCTCTCGTATGTATGTATGTATGCATGCATGTAGATATGTATATATGTAATGTATGCATGTATGTATGTAAGTATTTATGTATGTATGTAAGGTAGGTAGGTATGTATGCATGTATGTATGTATGTATGTAGGTATGTAATGTATGTAATGTATGTATGTATGTATGTATGTATGTATGTATGTATGTATGTATGTATGTATGTATGTATGTAATGTATGTATGTATGTATGTATGTACGTATGTATGTAATGTATGTATGTATGTATGCATGTATGTATGTATGTATGTATGTATGTATGTATGTATGTATGTTTGTAATGTATGTATGTATGTATGTATGTATGTATGTATGTATGTATGTATGTAATGAATGTAATGTATGTATGTATGTATGTATGTATGTATGTATGTATGTATGTATGTATGTATGTATGTATGTATGTATGTATGTATGTATGTATGTATGTATGTATGTAAGGAATGAATGTATGTATGTATGTATGTATGTATGTATGTATGTATGTATGTATGTATGTATGTATGTATGTATGTATGTATGTATGTAATGTATGTATTTTTGTATGTATGTATGTATGTATGTATGTATGTATGTATGTATGTATGTATGTATGTATGTATGTAAATGTATGTATGTATGTATGTATGTATGTATGTATGTATGTATGTATGTATGTATGTATGTATGTATGTATGTATGTATGTATGTATGTATGTATGTATGTATGGTAATGTATGTATGTATGTATGTATGTATGTATGTATGTATGTATGTATGTATGTATGTATGTATGTATGTATGTATGTATGTATGTATGTATGTATGTATGTATGTATGTATGTATGTTAATGTATGTATGTATGTATGTATGTATGTATGTATGTATGTATGTATGTATGTATGTATGTATGTATGTATGTATGTATGTATGTATGTATGTATGTATGTATGTATGTATGTATGTATGTAATGTATGTATGTATGTATGTATGTATGTATGTATGTATGTATGCAATGTATGCAATGTATGCAATGTATGTATGTACGTATGTATGCATGTATGTATGTATGTATGCATGTATTCATGTAATGTATGTATGTATGTATGTAATGTATGTATGTATGTATGCATGCATGCATGCATGCATGTATGTAATGCATGTATGCATGTATGCAATGTAATGTAATGTAATGTAGTGTAATGTAATGTAATGTAATGTAATGTAATGCATGTGTGTAATGTATGTATATATGTATGTAATGTATGGATGTATGTATGTATGTAATTAATGTAATGTATGTATGTATGCATGTATGTAATGTAATGTAATGCAATGTAATGTAATGTAATGTAAGTATGTATGTATGTATGTATGTTGTATGTATGTACGTATGTATGTATGTATGTATGTATGTATGTATGTAATGTATGTATGTATGTATGTATGTATGTATGTATGTCATGTATGTATGTATGTAATGTAATGTATGTATGTATGTATGTATGTAGGTAGGTATATAGGTATGTATGTATGTATGTATGTATGTAGTGTATGGAATGTATGTAATGTATGTAATGTATGTATGTATGTATGTTTTATGTAATGTAATGTAATGTATTGTAATGCAAGGTAATGTAATGTAATGTAATGTGTGTATGTATGTAATGTAATGTAATGTATGCATGTATGTATGTAATGTATGTAACATGTATGTATGTATGTATGCATGTATGTATGTATGTATGTATGTTTGTATGTATGTATGTATGTATGTACGTACGTATGTAATGTATGTAACATGTAATGTATGTAATGTAATGTATGTATGTAATGCAATGTAATGTAATGTAATGTAATGTAAGGTAAGGTAATGTAATGTAATGCAATGTAATGTCATGTATGTATGTATGTAATGTATGTATGTAGGTCCGTTTGTCTGTATGTATGTATGTATGTACATATGTATGTATGTATGTATGTAATGTAATGTAATGTAACGTAATGTATTGTAATGTAATGCAATGTAAGGTAATGCATGTATGTATGTAATGTATGTATGTAGGTCTGTCTGTCTGTCTGTATGTACGGCTGTATGCATGTATGTATGTATCCTTGCACTTCCCCTTTGCTCCCCAGTATTTCCCGCAAAATACACGGTTTTTCCCGCGTTTTCGCAAAGAGGATGTCCAAAAACACAGAGTTTTGCCAGATTTTCGGCAAAAGGATGCAGGAAGCCCAAGCCAGCAAAAAAGCCGGCAGGGGGAATCGAGCCTGGGGCCCCTGTTTTGCAACACCGGCTCCCCGAAGACTACGTTTAGTGGAACGTCATCAAATTGCCGCGCAACACGTGGGCAGACCCCCCTGTGCCTTGGACGCTTGGCGTCCATGCGGCGAATGACGTGTTTTGCTTAGTGGTACGTTGCGTGTCCGGCCCAATTGGACTTCTCGGACGGATCGGACGACACGGACGAGCGCACGCACATGCCGGATGGCTTGGACGGCTCTCCGAGGGCTGGGGCAGAGCAAAAGCTCGGACTGCTGTAGGGGGCGTCAAGCCGATCGGACTGCTGTAGGGCGGCTCGGATGGCTCGGTTGGATCGGATGACGCTGACGGCAGCTCGGACGGCTAGGGCGGATCGGACAGCTCGCACGGAGGTTCTGATGGTTCGGACAGCTCGCAAGCTTGGATGGCGGGACGGGCTGCGCCGCGCGGACAGCTCGGACGGATCGGACGGCCCCGATGGCTCGCGCGGTGCGGACGGACTGCTCGGAGCTTGGGTTTGGACGCCTCGGACGGACGGACAGCGCGGACTGGTCGGACAGCGCGCACAGATCAGGCTGATCGGACATCTCGGACGCCCCGGACAGACTGGTCAGACAGCTTGGAATCAAAGGTATAGGCCTCTGTCCCAAAGGTTTCCCGGCTGGTCCTGGGGACCTGCGCTAGGAGCTCGTGCGTTCCTCAATGGCGAGGGCAAATGAGTTTGTTGAGTTTTTATCGTGCGGGGTTCGTTCGTCGAGTTTTTTTACCGTGCCACAGGCAGAAATCAGCACCTCGGAAAGGCCTGCTCATTTGCGTCAATGATAAGGGCAAAGGAGGGGGGGTGCGTTTTTTTTTTCAGTTTTGCCTCAGAAATCAGCTCTCCGGAGAGGGCCGCTCATTTGCCGTCAATGGCGAGGGCAAATGAGCTAGGTCTGTTTGGTCAGCTTTTACTGTGACACGGGCAGAAAATCAGCACGCCGGAGAGGCCCGCTCATTTGCCTTCACCGGTGAGGGC